AAAATCTTTATATGTAGATGAAATGATCATCTACAAAGAAAATACTAAGAAACCTCTAGGAGCCCCTGGAACTTGTATTTGAATTTAGCAGGATTAAAAAACACAAGGTATATATAAAAATTCAGGTCTGTGTATACTTGCTATAAGTGAAGAATTGGATATAGAAATTTAAAAGTTATGTAGGAGTACAAAGGACCTAGAAAAGTTAAAAACAAAAGTGTTGGAAGGCGTTTAGTACCTACTTTTAAGACTTCTTCTAAAGCTACAGTAATCAAGGCAGTGTTGGTGTAAGGAGAGACATATAGATCATTTGAATAAAACAGGGAATCTAGAAATAGAACCACACATATATGGTCCACTGAGTTTTGAAAGATTATTTAACATTAGCATTTTATAGAATATAAACTCAATTCAAGAGCCGAGGAATAGATACTGTTTTCAGCAAATGGCACTAGAACATCTACTTGGTATGCAAATAAGATAGCTACCCCTGCTTTTTTCTGGGCTCCTGTCACATGGAGAACTGTTTTCCATGCTTTCACTTTCAGTCTATGAGTTTCTTTTTGAACTAGGTGTGTTTCTTGTATATAGCATATTGTTGGATTTTGCTTCTTAATCCGTTCTGCCAGTCTATTTCTTTTGATTAGTGAATTGAGGCCATTTGCATTATGACTGACATGGTTATAACTGATATGTAGTGACTTATCCTTGTCATGTTATTTTCCTGCTGATAGCTCTTTTATTTTTTATTTTCCCCCTCTTCCTTTAATTTCTTGCCTTGCCTGGTGGGTTTCTTCTGTTGGGCCTCATGGAGTTGTGACCTTCATTGCCTTTTTCTAGGACATTGTTTAGAATTTTTGGAGTGCTGGTTTGGTATTCATAAAGTTTCTCAGGTATTCTTTGTCATGGAAATATCATATTTCCCCATCAATTTTGAAAGATAATTTTGCAGGATACATCAGTCTAGGTTGGAGGTTGTTTTCTTTTAGGTCTTGAAATACTTCACTCCATGCTCTCCTTGACTTGAGGGTTTGTGTTGAAAAGTCTGCTGTGATTCTGGTGGGCCTTCATTTGTATGTGATTTGTTTCTTTTCTCTGACTGCTTGGAGAACTTTGTTCTTCTGTTGAGTTTGTGGGATCTTGATTATTTTTTTCTCTTTTTTTATTAATTATATTGGTACATTTAAAGTATACAATATAATGACATTTATCATTGGAAATTTGCACCTTTACATAATCCGTCTTGGTTCTTATCTTTTTCCCCATTCCCCTGTCCTCCCTTCAACCCCTCCATACTACCTTATTTACAAAGACTTTGTTTCCATTTTTTCTTTTTCTTATATTAAAATCCACTTCCTTCTTTCTTTTTCCCTACCCCTCCCATTTCCCCTTCTCCTTTGCACCTTTTCTTCCTATTTCACATTATCTAATATACCTTTTA